GTATGTAAGTCAGAACTGGCGTCCAGATTCAGCCACTGTTGAAACTGATCAGTTTCAGCAGCGGCTGAATCTGGACGCCAGTTCCGACTTACATACAGATTCAACTTAAGAACAAACCTACAGTCCCTATCTTGTACGTAACCCGGGGATTGCCTGTACAGAATTATTATTGTTGTTATTTCATTATTTGTTAGTAATAGCACTGCAACATAGAAATTCCCTGTTCTGCAGCACTCACAGACAGGCAGAGTTCCAGGAACGCAAACAATAAAAAGAGTTTTCTATAAATATTGACAAGATTTTGCTAGGGGTTGCTCAGCAGAAGTATCTATTCAAAAGTTACATAAAAGTAGGGGCAGTGGGTGTTTTACACACTTAGACTTTCACCCGCATGGTGTTACTTTACAGGCTATGATGAATCAAAGTGTCAGTGCATCATCTTCAATATTATGTAGTTCCCTCTGTGACCATAGCTGTTTTTTGTAAATGGCTAGTAGATATTATAACTACTAATTAAAAGAGAAGAGTAACCCACATATCCTCCTGTTGTAGAATAAATGTAAGTTATTCTGCCCATTTTCTTTCAGCTAGAGTTGATTTATATTCATGTGCTTTTCCAAAAGCTCATGCATTGTTGGGGAAAGTAATTCTCCAGTATATAACAACATGCTCTCTGAAAATACTGCAAATGTGCAGAGAAAAGAGTTTGTGTTAATTTATGCCAAAATTAACTCTAAGCTCATACTTCTTCGGGACTAAATCATTGTATACTTTGTAAATGCATTACTAGAGTCTGACTATGCTGAGATTCTTTTCATTTGTATTTATCCAGAACTTTCAATACAGTTTTTGAAAAAATAATTTGACTTTTATATCTGATTGTCAAGCATGCCTCTGAGCCACGATTAATTCATGCTGGGATATTCTTGACTCTACAAATGACCATTGTATCCAAGCCTTTTATCTCTCTCTGTGCTGTTAACTAGCAGCCTTTTATGTTGCCCTGCTTTAAACAAGATCAAATTTTGGGCATACTGTTCAACAATGGTCCCTAAATGTCAAAAAATTGTTGCACAATGCAAGCACCAAAGGGCTATTATTGAGTTTTAGAATTTAAATGAAGATGAGTTATAAATAAATACATCTTAACACCAGCATAAAGACTTCTTGTGTTTGCTGCTATGCAAAAATAAATAAAAAGAATTTTAAAAGCAAAAGTATTTGTGTTGTCATCCTAATAAAAACATGGCTCAAATAGTAAATTTTAATACTGCCCATTACTAGGAATTGAGCACCTAAAGAGATGTGCTAAAAGCATGAGCACCTACAGAGATGAGGTTGTTCAGCTCTAAAGCTAGTTAGCAAAACGTTTTAATGGAAAATGCCGATTCATTAAAAACCAAATTGTTCATAAGAAAAGGTCAGTCTCAACGATCTCCCATTTGAACAAAATGTTGAAAATTACTTTGCTTGGACATTTCATCTTATTTCTACTAAAAGCAAAAGTTAAAATGGAAATCTAAATGAAGAATTTTGAGTGACCCATTTCAAATATTTTTCAGATTATTAGTTTGGGGGAAAATGTGAATTTGATTTTTTTTTATCCCAATTTGAGACAAGACATTTTTTCAAAATCTCAAAAACTGTCATGAGATGGGAAACAATTCCTATAGCTCTACTCCACACCTCAGAATTAGGCTACAGATTTTCTTGTAAAAATACCATTTTTCCTCAAGCAATTGAGTTTTGTTATTTTCATGGTCAAATTTAGGTCAAATGAATGAATCTCGTTAACTGGCTAAAATCTACAGGTTTCATGAATATTATTGCCCTTTTTCAACTTGGCTGAATGCTGAGAAAACTAGTGTTCGGATTTCAGCTTATTGTGATGTAAGTTTCCTATGCATGTTCTCATATCCCATCATGCTAGTCCTCCAAAAAGCCTCCATCAAAACCAAGAAAGTCAAGACCTTGACATTCCTAATAATTCCAAAGTTAAAAATAAGAAGGATCATCTTCATATTTCATAAAGGATTTTTAATTCTTCGTTGCTAATGGACCTTCAGACGCATTCATTTTGATTGTCCTTCGGTTGAACGGATGGACTGGCCAGCTGACAGGTGAAGGCAAAGTGGGCAACTGGCTTTGGGCCCAGCAGTTCAAAGGGGTTCATGGCTCTCAGCTGCTGCTGCTGCTGCTGCTACTGCCACAGCAGGGGTAGCCAGACCCCCAGGCCCTTTTAATCATTGCCAGAGCCCCACACAGCACACTGCAGAGCCCAGGTGGAGTGCTCCAGATGGCACTGAGGGGGGATGGTGTGGTCCGAGTGGCTCTGAGAGCTAGTTGCACTGGCCCTGCCCTTCCACTTAAGGCCATGCCCGTTCCAAGAGCACAGAGCTGCCCCTATCCTCCTCCCCCCGCAACTTGCGCAGTGGCCTGGTAAGTCTATCAGCTTGCCTGCTGATGGAATTACACTTTTCATCTCTTTCTAAATTGGTATACCCATCTTAGCTCTCTGTGTTGGGAATGCTCTTGTTGGATGCTTCCTCTCACACCAGTGATGTGGATCTGTTTGGTGAATTGCAATGTAACCGTGCCAATCCTAAGTGTCAATTGTAAGTGAGCCCCCCCCAAACATCATGAGAGTTAAATAAATAATAAAGTTTGGGTTCTTTCTATTTGCCTTCTTGCTTCTGAACTGAGAGAGTGCTTTGGGGTCATCTGTGACATTACATCTCATATGCATCATGGGAATATGATTATGACATAATTATTATGCAATTTGTACAAGAGAAGTCATATAAGGTGTCATTGGAAAAGCTATGACTATCCTATTTGAATGCATGTATCAATTTTGAACCTGAAGTTATGAATATTGATTACGTACCTGTATTTCAAATGCAGTAACAGCTAGGTAAAGCCCAATTCGCAAAATGCTTTCAACCTAAGCAGCTGATTGAAACAGGCCTATTCAGGGTAATTAAGCAGAATAATAAGTCTTAGAAGATGCTTCTGTCCCACCTGGTGAGCTTTCCTGAGAACATTTCAGCCACCCTGTTGCAATGACCCTGCTAGGACATGTGACGAGACCACATGACACTGATCTCCATTTTGGGCATCTATATTTTTCCACAGTCTGGTTAGGGAACCCATTTTGAAACAAAGGGTTCCCACCATAAGGAAAAGCTCTATAAGGCAGAGAGTGACATCATCTGTGGTTTTCACTCCCCCACAATTGAACACCTGAGAGAAACTCAGAAAGAAAGGGACTTGGAATGGGGATGGGGATCCCAAGCTGCAAAGCTAGTGTGGATTGTGCCTTGAGAATCTGCAAGTCTGTTTGTTTCATCAGTCAGGGTGAGAAATTGCTAATTCATATCCAGTCTTTTTGGTATTTTAGGCTTAGTTTGCAGTTTTGTTTGTTTGCTAGGTAATCTGCTTTGATCTGTTTGCTACTGCTTATAATCACTTAAAATCTATCTTTTTGTGGTTAATACACTTGTTTTATGTTTTCATCTAAGCCAGTGTGCCTTTGACTGAAGTGCCTGGGAGGAAATCTCATTTTGATTAACACAAGTGTATTGCATATTCCTCTCCACATTGAAGGAGGGGCAAACTGGATAATAAATTCATGCTGTTTGGTGTTTTGATGAGAGCAGGATGGTATAGTTCTGGAGTCTTAGGCTGGGGAGCTGGGGGTTTATCTTGGCTGTAGCCTCTCTATTGTTGGCTTATGCAGTGGCTGGTCGGTGCCTGTATGTAACTGCAGCTGGATATGTCCCTGCTTGTGTGAATGCTGATGGGAGTATATGACTGGGAGAGAGCTACAGCTTGACACACCAGCCCAGTGTGAGCCCAGGCTGGTGGGTCAGAGGGCTCAGTGGAACCCCAGGGGGGAAACAGTCACATACTGTTTTCAGGCTTTTATTTAACCCCAGGGGTAGAAACTCGCTGTTTTTCTTTGTTTTAATAAAAGGTGAATTGCTCATGACTCCAGCACCTGAGGTGTTAGGAAAAACACCAAATATATTAAGACTTGCAATCAAACCACAAGAATTGACACCATTGAGGATAATAGTAACTCTCTCTCTCCTGTCCTGATAGGTTTTGATCCTGACTGGTGTTTGGTGGGAAAAAGATCTGTTGCTACTACAGAAATTGGTGCAGATAAAGGAGAAATTTTTAAGGATTTTATGGGTAGATTTTCCAGCTAAAATTTGCTGTATGCCAGTATTAAGGCCTCATCCCAACTGGTCATAAAAGTTAGTCTATCGCTTTACTTTAACTCTTTGTCATGCTGGGAGCTTTAATGGCTTTAGTGGTGTGTGAAATAGGAGTATGCATCTGTGATGTTATTTATATGTCTCCTATGTCATAAAAACAAGTAGAGGGGAATAAAATTAATGCAAAAGCATCAGTTCAAGCACACTCTCCTCCTCCACTGCACAGATTTGGCAGAGGTGCAGTACAAGTAGGTTTTTGGACCATATAAAGGTAGGCAAGGAATGGGGATCATTCACATTTGACCTCCTATCTCATGATCATAATGATTTTCTTGCCATAAGCCTATGTCCAACAAGAACATTTTTTCATGATGTTTCCAAATCTTGGAACCACTTTTGAAGTGAGTGAAATACCAGTAGGTTGCAAAATTGCATAGATTATGTTGCAAAAAGGCAGTTCAACCTGAAACTGCATAAAATTGTCATTGCGACATACCCAGTTTGTAACACAGTAATACAAACATAATGACATTGTGAGGAAGGAATTTGTTCTACTTGAGGAGCTAAGATTTATTAGGCCATGCCTAAATAAACGGTTGCATCGTGTGCTGTCTCTGTTGGATGTGTAATTGCCATTCAAGTACTTGGGCCATTAATAACCCAAAGAAAACCACAGCTTTAAGGCAGTCTTTACAGACTTATTTTTTAATTTAATTCTTGTAATAGCTTACTTATTCTTGACCTATTATCATTGTGCTTTTCTCCCAATACTATCAGATGGGGAGCTTTCCATACCAAATGAAGGATCGTTGGAGAATGGGCAGGCTCTGAGCTCCAGCCAGCTTTCACTACCAGCCCTAGCAGAACTGGAATCAGGTTCCGCGTCTGGGGAACCCTGTGCATATGAGGTGCTCCCAAGCACAGATATCATGGATGGGACAGGTAACATTTCTGTTTTCATTCTAAGATACGAAACACCAAACAGTTTTCCAACATTTATGCTCTTTTTAATGCTTTTAAAATCTGGTTTCTGATGGTTTTTTATCTTTGACACTTAACGTTTAGCACACAGGTGTGCTCTTGACATACAGGAGTAGTTGTAAGCCAGAACCAGCACCTCCAATCCAAACACTTTAGAGCTTGGAGAAAGTTTGGATTCAGGTCCAAGTGTGGTAACTCAGTCCCATCTGTATGCAGGACGACAGACTAGAGTTGCTATCTTTCTGTAAATCTGCCACTAGTAAGTAACGCGCATAAATCAGAATGCAAAGTAAAATCTCCGTATATTTCAAGTCTGGAAACTATGGTTTTAATTTCATTCTCTCATTAATGTTCTATGCTCTTTGTTATTTGGAAGAAGATATCGTAATAAAAGCAGAAGCCTGGCAAGTCTTGCTTACTTTCAGATTGAGAATGGAGAGTTTTATGCTTCACTGATTCTTGTAACAAAGCCAATAGCTTGGTAGATGATACCCAGTCCTGGAAGTGTAGGGGACCTGTAATAAGGAGTTCCAAGGGATTCTCACATCTAAAGCAGAATGAGAACATGGTTGAGAAAAAAGAAAAGGCTCACAGCTTATCATATGGACAAGGTTTAGACATCTTATAGCTCAGAAGTAGCCACCTGCTTTCAGCTCACAAGGTTGGTGCTTTAAGAGCAGCTTCTCAATAAGGAAAGCTCAGCATATTTCTGATGTTATGGTAAATTGATAGGTCAGAAAAGGCTACTCCAACATGCCAAGACAAAAGAGCTGTCTTCACATAAGGAATATGAGGCCTAGTTGTGGATGAGAGAGTGACAGTGTTCAAATTAGCTTTGGGCATCTCTTGAAAAGATCTGGAGTTTCTGTTTAGATGAGGAGCTGCCTCCAAAATCTAGGTACTTATGCAAAGTATCTGAACTCTTTTTCTTGTGGTATTTCTACCCATGTGCTGCTGGGCCTTCAGAGGCACAGGGATGAAAAATGGGGGGTGGGAGGTTTATAACTATATTTTTTGTGCTAACTTCAGAAAGGTTGGTTTTAAGGCTTGGACCAAAGTTAATATCACTTCTTATTTTATCAGACTTGATCCACCTAGCCCTGGTTCAGATGTCTAGACCCATCCCTTCTCCAGCTCAAATAGAGAACCATATGTAAAAAAGTTCTGATTTGGGAAATCTAAAAACTGGCCATTGTAAAGAGGTCCCTGGTAGCTATCCCATTCACAGCTTCAAAAGAGCCAGCCAGAACTTCCTTTGAAGAGCACCTGCTTTAGAGTTCACCTTCTGCTTCTGCTGGCCTTGAGAGAGCTGAAATGTGATGTCTATTTGAGCTGTATCTGATTGAATCAGAAATAACTCCTTTGGCTTCAATGGAAAAACTCTCAAATCACTGTTTGACTAGAAAGGGATCACAGTTTTCATACCTCAGCTGTGTATGCTCAGCTGACATGGATCAGTTAGGCCTTGCACCTGCTGAAGATAAAGCTGTTCAGTTATGCCGTACAACAGCAACAACACAACAATTTCTGTCTTATTGTGAGAGAGGGGGAATGGGAGAGAAACTACAATTCCATTCAAATAGTGATGCACCAAATTCAGCACTGCTGTAAAAGGCACAGCTTCAGAGAAGAAACAGCTCCATAAGACAAGAATATTCTTAAGAATCAAGATTATCAGCTCTGATATTGATTTTTAGCTGTACCACTCAGTTCTACAGCAAACATCAGAAAACATTTCTGAGGCATGTGGCACAAAATGTGCTTTTCTGCAGCTGCATGGCAACTAGTGCACATTGCCCAAAGAGGAAGAATGAAAACAAATGTGTAATTGGTATAACTGTTTACCTATAAGCCTGTACAACTGTGCGGTCTTTTAAAAATATAATGGAGCCTGCCAGAGAGATGGGCAGGATGCCTTTGTGTGGAAGCATAAACCCTGTACATGTGCCACTTGTTTATTGATTGTGTATTGTTACCTGTCTGCAGGGTCTTCAGTTTGACATTTCAAGGCTTTTGATTGTGTTAAAGGTGTGTGGGCTAAATTCAACTCTGGTGTCAGTGAGAGATGCTCCGTTGGTTTTATGGAGAATGACCCAGTGCTGAAATTGGTCTGTTGTGTAGGGGTGTGTGTGTGTGTGTGTGTGTGTCTTTCTCTCTGTGTGTTTTACAGTGTTGGAGTGAAATCTATTAGTCATGTTTTTGATCTGCATCTCTGTGCTACTTTTTCTTCTCTTTACTGTTACTGTACCTGCTGCCACTCTTCTTGTAACGTTGTTGCGTCTATGATGTGGTTGTGTCCTCCAGTGTCTGAAGAAAGCCCCACATCCAATGAGTCTGGAGTCCTCCTGTCCCAAGATCCTTCAGCTAAACCAGTCCTGCTACTTCCCCCCAAAAAATCTGCTGCTTTCCCTGGAGACCATGAGGACACCCCAGTGAAACAGCTGTCCCTCCTCAAACAGCCCCCTGCCCTGCCTCCTAAACCCATTGCCAGGATTGCCAGCCACTTAACTGGTAAGTAGCTGTTCCTGAATGCTCTGCTCCGCTACTTCCCTTAAAGGAACAGTCCACTCCCGTACTGATAGTCTCAATGTTTTTCTTTGGTAAAGGCTGCTCTGTAGATGTTTGCAAGTGTATCGATATTAAGTGTATGTCGTGGCTGTAATAATACAGCAGGGCGGGGCTCTCAAACTTTTTCACAGTGTGGACAGTATTTTAAGAGAGATAGGCACCTCCCCTATTGTCCACAGTGCTCCCAGCCTCCTAATCATGACCCTGATCACCAGCATGCAAGCTCATCCTATCAAATAGCGCAGTGACTTAGATGGCAAAGTAATGATAGGAAAGTACTTTTCATATCTGTTTCATGAACTGAGCGCTTTGTTCTTTGGAGGGAAAGACAATGTATCAGATTCTCTCCCTTTGTTCTTTGTTACTTCTCCTCCAGCTTCCCTGTGTGCTTTCCTCCCCACTTTCCCCCTCCTCCTCTGCACATGTTTCTCTTAGACTCTAAGACCAGAAGGGTCCATCATGATCATCTCGTTTGACCTCCGCAGGCCACAATGCCTCACCCATCCATTCCTGTAATACACCCCTAGCCTTTGGCTGTGTGACAGAAGTCCTCCCATCATGATTTAAAGACTTCAAGTTACAGAGAATCCACCATTTATGCTAGTCTGAACCTGCAAGTGACCCATGCCCCATGCTGCAAAGGAAGGCAAAAAACCTCCAGGGTCTCTGATAATCTGACTTACAGAAAGATTCTTTCCCAAGCCCAAATAGAGCGATCAGTTAGACTCTGAGCATGTGGGCAAGACCCATTGGCCAGACACCTGGAAGAGAATTCCCCCTATGAACTCAGAACCCTCCCCATCTACAGTTCTATCACCAGCCATTGGAGATATTTGCTGCTAGGAGTCACAGCTCAACTGCATGCCATGTAAGCAGTCTTACTGTACCACACCCTCCACAAACTTATCAAGCTCAGTCACCTTCTTTCCAAATTACTCTGCCCTCTGGTTCCCTGCTCCTCTGCATCCTTGCTCAAGATTGCTGGCTACCTGGTCCCTTTCTCTATGTCTTCCCACTGGTGGATCATAATGGCGATTGATAATCCGATTTACTCTATTCCTGCTACAGTTCCTGGGGGATGCTCCAATTCCCCTTCCTGCTATGTTGGAGGCTGTAATGGAGGCAGGTTATGCAGTCTCCTGTGCCTGGTTTCCAGCTGCTCCTACAGGCATGCAGGCTCCTCTTGGTTGTCAACAGCCCTGTTATCTGTAAAAACAATTGGAAGCCAGGAGGAAAAGTCAACCTTCCCTGAACTACCATCAGACCATGCTATTGAGAAATATTGCAGGCACGCATACTAGGAACCTTAATATTCCTGAAATACATGTCCGTGCCTTTTGAGGTGTGTATGCACAGTTCCCATTGTTTTCATAGAGCACAAACCAGGAGGCTATGATCTCCCGAGTTTTAAGCCAGTTTTAATAGTGACTCTGTATGTAGCCTGGACATGCCTCAGTCTTTTCCCCTCTGTTACTCCTCTGATATTAATACTTCCCTGCCTCACAGTGGTACAGATGAGGGTGATCACTTCCTATGTTACTATTTTTATCACATAATTGTTTATTTTGACTATTAGAAAATAAGAAAATAATTGTTAGGAAAAAGCATATATTTTTTTCCCCACCAGTTTCTACACAGCATTTTATCTAGAGGGCCAGCTGATTTGTACTTTATTTACTTTTGTTCACTTTTATTTGAAATCAATATGGGATTTATTCCATTTTGCTGCTTGCCAAAACCAACTCTAAATTGTTTTGTTGTTTACCTATAAATGCAAACCAAAGGGGCAAAGGTGGGCATGGGTTCTTATTTACTACACTTGGGACTACAGCTGTTTGTACCAGCTCTGAATTTGTTTCCAATCTATTCTCATAATTCAGTTTACCCCTGTGAGTTTTTGAAGATGAAGATGCAATGAGAAAAGTAACATAAAAAAACCTATCTTCTGCCAGCTGTGCATTGCACAGAAACATGGGGGCAGAAAGAGACTATCCTGCTCTTTAAGTTAGCTGTAGAAACAAACAATGGATGGAGATTTGTGTCTGCTTCTATGTATTTTGTAGTTTGAATTTTTATATCGAGTGAAATCTGTCTTAACTGACACAAGCTGATCCCTTGAGTGGTTACTTGTTTAACAGAGATGTATTTCTAATAAAGACATAGTATGCTTCTGGGTAGCAGGGCCGACATCTTCGCTGAACCCGAAGACAAGGTGGGGGAGGACGCATAGGTAGAAGGGGCAGGGTAGCGGTAGGGGTAGGCAGCCCTTAGCACCACCCAGAGAATGCTGTGCCTGTCCCAGGCAGCACTGCACACTGCATGATGTTCTGGCATCAGTTTAAAGGGCCTGGGGCTCCGGCTGCTGCTGCAGTCGCAGCAGTGATGGTTGGGAACCACGGGCCCTTTTGAATTGCTGGGCCCCAGGGCAGTTACCTTCTTTGCCCCCCTCCTTCCCTGGCAGCATTGTAAGCTGTCAGCAGTTCCTTGGAATGAAGTTCTAAGGGAGACGGGGGAGCTCTGTCTCTTTAAAGACAGAAATCAAGGTGATTGTTCAGCTTGCTCTTGCTCTGTCCCACTCACACATGAACTCACTTGCATATAGACATGCTGACATACACTCTCACGTGTAGATAAGATTCACATACACACAAGTGTCTCTGGGAGGGGGGGGACAGTGTCAGAATTGGTCACAAGGCCCTTGTTTAGCTGATAGGTGCCTCTTGATAGAGCTTGACAGCTTCACCCATATATACCCTGATAAACATTAATATCTCAGACCAATAGATTTGATTTTTTTTTCTTACCGGGGGGAGGGGGCGGTGTCTATGGACATATATTTTTATATGCTTTATGTTGCCCCTTTAGATTATATTAGACTTGCATAATCCCTGAATATGAGCAGTGCATCTTAATGAATCACCCTCACCACAAGAAAGCTAAATTAACCCTGTTCTTTCACTAATTACTCCAGAGACATCTATATTTTGTGAGAGAGAGAATTAATAAGATCAGATTTCTGGAGCTCCAAATGAAGACTTTTCAGGTTTTCATTGCATTTTCAGGGTCTGTTTTTCTATGGAGGATTTCGTGAGGCGAGTGAAGGACAAGTTAAGACACACCAAGCATGACTAATAGAGAATGACAGTAGTTAATGGTCTGGCAGGCCTGTGCAAAACGGATATGAAAGGAAACGTGATCTTGGAATGAGTTTCTTTTCAGGTATATCACTGATGTGGAGCCTGCAGGAACATGTCCTCATCTTTTATCTTGTTTAAGAAATTATTTTATAAAATCAAATAGAAGAATACCTGAGAATATATTCTTATAAAATCTCCACAGGCTTGGTCAGCAGAGGGTAAAAAAACAGATAAATACCTCAAAGAGTGTGAGGGGTGAGTGGCTTTAAAATCAGACCACCTACTTGTCATGAAATTCCAGGCCAAATTATCATCACCTGCCTGAAGAATGACCAACGAAGAATCCTCCCCCCTCCAACAGCATCTAAGATCCATCTCACACATCACCACTTTCTGTTCACCTGCCAGGCTTTGCTCTTGCCCTCGGTGACCAATACTCGTACCACAGCAGATAAATACACACAGATAAATGCTGTTAATTTTTTTTAAGTTTTACTGTGGGTGTGGAAAGAAGAAAAAGAATCATATGTGGCAGTTTCCCATTCCACAGCTTAAAGCTGCTCTGGTGGGAGCGCAGGTACTATGGCGATCTGGCAGATACAAGAAGCTGAATAGAAGGGAAATTGGAGCATGCTGGGAGTGAGACTGCTCCCCTCTGGAATGATTTCCAGGTAGGGCACATGACATCTTTGTAGTTCCCAGACCCATGTGCCTGCCCCACCTACCCCATAACCATCCATCTTGCTTTTATGGAAGGAGCAGCTAGAAAGAACTTCTCTACAATATGTGTAGGTTGTTGGAATTCCCTGAGCAGCCTTTCTGTTGCCTGCTCCCTGTCTTGCATGCTCATACTCTGAGCAGGAAAAAGGAAGCATTTGCCTTGTAGTCATCAAAATCCATCTCTTCATAGTACAAACCAGTCAGCCCTAGAAAGAGAACATGTCTTGTAATTGTTTCAGTACAAGTTCATCACTCTGCATTCCTCACCGACCAATTATTTTACAATGATCCTCCTGCCAGCTGTTAAATATGATCATTAATAATAAGCCATCCTTCATTTATAAAGCCCCTTTCATCCACCAGAGTCCGAAAGCGCTGAACTTCACAGGGCTTACCTTCAGCCACCACTTAAGGGGAGAGATCTCTGGGTGGAAGATAGCAGTTTACAGCAGCAATACATAACCATTTTGGACACCAATTGCAAAATACCTTATCTGGTTGAAATTGGAGGAGGAATTTAACTGTTGGAGACAGAGCCTTTGTGATTAATTGCCAGGTGATCTTTAATGAGCAGAAGCAGCCTGAACTTTGGTTTTATATCTTATTTGAAAAGCAAAATTCCCAGTGTCACAGTGCCCCTTCGTGCCTTTGTCCATGAATTCATTTCTTTTCAGTCCCAAAATTGAATTTTTCTGAGATTAACCAAGCGACATTCCAAACAAAAGAATGAACTGTCAGTTATCCATGAAATTCTCTAAAAAAAAAAAATCTGTAAGCAAAACAAAAAATCTGGAAGGGCATAACTGTTACACCTGTGTAAGTCGAATGTGTGGGGTTACTCCAGTTTTACATTTGTTGTAGCTTCAGACAGAACCTAGCCCTTTAATTCAACAATCCTACCGGAGCTTTGAAAAATCCTTTTAGGTGCCTTTTGAGTTGTCTCATTCCCTCCATTGTGCATTGGGAGGAGGAAGTTTTTTCCCATGTTTAGTTCTAAGAACACACAATCTATTTATGTTCTATACAGTATGGTTCAGACTATCAGCTGGCTGAATAACAGTGATAATTCAAAAATAGAGCAACTGG